ATCCCGCAGATAGCGTTCTCGTGCCATTAAGACGAGGTCAACATTAGGACTTTGATCTAGACTTCGGTTCCCAAGGTGGTGTCGTAAGGAGTAGATAGTGCACAACTCTACTTAACACGTTGACGATGAGCAGTTTTTTTTTCATGAATTGCCCGTGAGACGGTACGATTTTCTTCGTAGAAACTCAGTAAGATGCGGTCAAAGTGTTCCAAGAAATGCAAAAGGTGAGAATACGAATCTCGATCTTCGACACAATTTAGCTTTTATTGCTCCAGTCTTCCGAAATCAGTCCAGTTTTTACCAAGTTTTTCTCTGGAAGCAGATTTGGCTGAAAATTTGTCTCCGGGGTAGTTTGACCTTCTGAAGACGAATATTACATCCCCTTGGCCCGAAAATGTTGTTCTCAAACTAATTTTATAAAAAGAAAGTGAAACAATCGCGCAGATTTTGAGTTATATAATAACTGTCGGACAGCATTGGGTGACGCCGCTCCACAAGACAAACCGTCGTCAACGCGTTAAGTGGACATGATATTCTTGTTCAGGGGTCGAACTACCGGCAGGGACAAGTTTTCAGGAATTTGGTGAGTTAGGACATTTTGGCGCCGGCGCCTGTGGCGGGGGCGGTTTCGTGGCAAGCGATTGTGATATTCGTGTTCACGGCGTCAAACTACCCCACGAGCCAAGTTTTCAACTAATTTGGTGATTTACGGTATTTTGGCGCCGGCGCCTGTGGCGCGGGCGCCAGGTAGTTCGTGCCAAGCAGCTGTGGTATTCATTTCAGAGGGACAAGCTACCCCTAGGGATACGTTTCCAGCAAACTTGGCTGTTCGTCCATCTTTATTCTTAGAAAATATACTGGCAGACACCATTGTCTGCCATCGTCCCATGAGACAGACTGGCTGTCAGCCACCATTGTCTGCCATCGTTGTGAGCGTGTTAAGGGAACTTTGAACGCCCAAACCCGTTTGGGGATTCTCGTAGCAGTTTTAATCTACATATTCTTAATAGAAATTAAGCTATCGATGCACCTAGGTCTCCTACCAAAGTTGCATGGCAGGTTGAAACCGAAGATGTCCCCAAATTGATCCAAACGCAAAACCCTTTAGAAAGTACCTTAAGTCATGAGGTTTACTGTTTGGAATGTGTATGGATACAGCAGCCCTGAAGACATTCCTAATGTCTTCCTTGGTGACATTCCCTGGTAAACCATTGATGTACAATTCCAGAGGATTCACCGGCATCGTTTCTGAAAAGATATGTGAATTTTAATACAAATGGGACATTTTCTATGTGGCCCGTGTTTCGCAATCAATTGTGCATTTCCCCTGCATTGAATACGACGAAATTTTTGAACCCTTGCCACACCTATCTGCATTTATGAAAATAAACCAAACTTATCGTACTATTCCTCCACAGAATGCAGAAAATAATATTAATCAAACACTAATGAAAAGCAAACCACCAAACTCAGCATTCCCCCTGTGCTCTCAGAAACCAGAAAAAGTCTTGAAAAAAATTTCGGTATGTGCGGACCTCAAGAGAGAGAAAGAGCACGGCATAGCTTTCATCGAACCGATTTTTTTTCCACTGAAAAAATATTACGTTGGCGGGAAAGTTCTGTCACATTTTTCAAATTAGGCTTTCTTTTTATAGAGAGGCGTGTAAGATCAAAATTGTACAGCAATGTTACTGCGGGGTTCCTTGCCAGTTTTTGAGCACCTCATGGATGCCATCACTTCACAGTGGAGGGAGGCGCACACGCGGACACCATGTCAGTCTTGACTTGAATTCGGGTTATGGAGGTTTTCTCGTCCACATAACGATTGAGTACGGGAGGCAACTTGCAGTTAGAAGGAGCAATGTCTGTGCTACACCAGTGCAAGGGGAGAGCCATCCAGCTCTATTGCATGAGGTACGGCTCGAACTTTTTTGGACGGAGTGCGCTGCACTATGATGAGGGCGGGCTGTGCGGACAAATTTTTCCCTCTGATCGACGGTACGCTTTAGATCTCGTAGCTGCTTTGCGTACGCATTGACCGAGAAGCAGCTTCTTCATCCAGCACTTTCACGACCCGCAGCTCCCTCAATCTGAGTTCACAGGTAACCCAAACCTCACTTCGTCATCAAAACTGTAGGCTCCCGCTTTGAAGCACTGGCGTCACGGAAAGTTCTCCGATAGAAGGACATCGTCCTTCCTCAGCTCCATTATTTTGGCATCTGCAGCTATCATGCTGGCGTCAGGGTGGTGGAAGAAAGAGTTTGAGGAAGCGCTGGAGGGGTCGGTGCCGATGGTAGCGGATAAAATCCTTGTCCATATTGCAGAAGAAGAAGCAGGAGTCAAGCGAGTGGTACTAATAGAAAGACCACTCCTTGATGTATAAGTGCTCACATTACCGGTTACCCCTCTTCAGGTAATGGGCAAGTATTTTCGAAACAAATGTGACAGAACTCTCCTGCCAACCTAATACATGCCTACA